CATGTAGGTAATTTAAATGATACACAGATTTAAAGAGTATCATACTCCATTCTGTAAATCTGTAGAGCTAGAAAAAGCCATGCATGCTCTAATAACAGCTGTGATTCACTATTAAAAGGCAACTTGCAGATCCTGTACCTAAATACACAGATTTATTTTTGCAGATTCCATGGCAAACCCAAAGACAAAAACCTTTGAATTTTGCCATCATTCTAGCTGGTACTCTGAGCCTTTTTGATGCATTTAAGAAATTTCAAATGCCTCAAAATAGTGAAAGATCAAAGGAAGAAAAACTGCGATTTGTAAGGTTGGTAAGAGCATGATTAAGGCATATGTACATTGAAGAATATGAAGAGTAAACGAAGCTACTATTACTGAGACAGCATAGGAAAGCAAATCATTCTTTTCAGTCACAATAAAAACTTGATTTTAGTAGCTATGGAATTTTATAATGAATGAAAAAGAGGAACAAAATAATTATAATTAGATTATTGTCTAAAGAGTCATTAAATGAATGCCATTTAAGGTTTATCAAAATGTTTCCTGAATTCTAAACTTTAAAGAAAGTGTCTTATTCTTTAAGGAAAAAAAAATAAGTCAGGAATTATAAAACGCAGTGTCTATCATAGGGCAAACTACTATTCTATATTCTATATTTCTAAATTATGTGTGAATATATAGCCTTTACCATCTATGAAACACTGTTCCTCCTGCATGTTTCTAAGAGTGGTGGAAAACTGGAGTCTACATTGAGCAAACAGGTTTATGTGCTACGGCACTTCTTAAGTCTTTTAATATAATGCTGTACTTTATAAATTTCCAAGAGGGATATACAGTATGCAGTGCTCTCCAAAAATATTTGGCCATGACATGTGTGTGTATTTGTTGGGGGGCGCACATTGTGTGTGTATGTGTGTGTGTGTGTGTGTGTGTATGTGTATAATATTAACCATTCCCAAAACAGGGTTCCATAAATACTTATTGGCAAAGACAGGATTACAGTATATCCAAGTTTAATTAATAGGTATATACTTCAGATTCTAAAATTTAGGATTAATTATATCCTTTTTATATCATTGTCATACAAGCATGTCCATGTATTTCAATTTTAGCTTATTAAATATGTATGTTTGCAGTCATTTTTTATAAATGGATATCAGACTATCAATAAGGAATATAAATTCTTGTTGAAATTAACTGACATGTAATTTTAGAGCTCCTCTGACAATAATAGAGTTCAAAGTAAATTCAAAGATGTTTTGCACTTAGATTTTTGAGGTATGAAAAGTTTTCATTATATAAAAGCTAATTATGAAAAATATAACTTTTCTTTGCCTCTTTTGTATGGCAATTCCCATTAATCAAACACTACCTGATAGGATTGTTCGTCATTTACTATTTCTTCAAGTTTCTGTTTGTAACATTTTTCTGTCTCTAATTATTAACATTGTTTAAAATTGGCCTAATATCACATAGTTTGAATTGTGAAACAAATTTGAAAAAATACTATTTTCCATTGTAAAGTCTATGTTGACACATCTGTACTCAGCCTCATTCCTCCCTATGTAAGAGCATCAACAGAACTTTTAGATACTCTGAAATGGAGGCCTTCAAAGCTAGTAACCTATTTCAAAGCTTTTTAAAAGTTACAGTCATCATAATTGTCGACTATTAAGGAAATCCTGTTGTGATATGCAGGTTTTAATTACATCATCTAAAATGACAAGCAGCCCATACAGAGCTGTCCCACAATTAGCATAACTTGAATTGCTCACTG